AAAAAAAAGACAGATTAACATTTGAAACATACATTACACATTTAAGCCATATGACAATAATTAGAAAATTAAACCTTTGACTTGTAGCCAATTTCCATTTATTTTTACGTTTTTCTCACGTTGTTTCATGAAAGCATATTCATTGTTTTTTTTTTTTGTTTGTTTTTTTTTTTTTTGTGTAAGCCGATTTGTAATTCTGTGGTCCTTCCTGCAGGGGGTGCTGTAGCTCCCCCAGTACCCCCTGTTCCTGTGGTACTACAGACAGTAGCTTGGTTTCTGAGAGGAAAGACATTCTCCATCTATTTCAATTTTCATTCTATTTGCAGCTTTAATTCTTGGTTAAATACCAATGCTGTAAAGTGCTTACAGAAGACTGTTGTGCATTTTAATCTATTTTATCCTCTCTGTAGTATTAACTTAGAAGAAACCTAGATGGAGCCAGTATTATAAGTAAAATAAGATAATTTGCCTGTTTTCTCTGCTTTGTACTTTTATTTTACATCATTTAACTTTTGTTTTTGTGGTTAGTTACAACATGGAACCTGCTCTTTTTGACTTCAGTTAGCGCTTTTATTTTACGACACCCTTTTTAAACAGGAATCTGTGCTTTTACTTGAGTAAATCATGTGAAAATGTTTGACACCTATGATCACAGGGAAACTAAGTTAGTAAGGTAAGGTAAGACCTACCAAGTGATGCCAGAGTACAAACACAATGTTTGTTCTTTTATCCCTTAATGTTCTTTTCTGGCCATATCTAACTTTCAGTCTCAAAACAGTCTTAAACCTATAACTGTACTTTTTCCATTTAAGGCAGAATGATCAGAGGAAGATTATTACAGAAAAAACCTGTCCAGTTTTTCTTTATCCTGTTAACTTAACCTGGTAAATAACTGAAATTATAAATGGTTGGAACTGATCTGTAAGGACATTTTACTTTCTGGACCTGGATTATCCACCTCTCTAAATGATATGATGTATGTTGGGAATTCTAAGTTCTTCATTATTTCTGTCTTACTAACTTGTTTTGAATTTCTTTAAATAAACATATACAATGTTTTAAGCCTTCATTTGCCTTCCTTCTTCCAAACTGAGCAACATCCATATGTAGTGGAGAGGTCACTGAGTTTAAGGGAGCGGCTTCAACTCTGCTGATCCACCCATCTTATTAGATCGCCTGGAAAACTGGATGATACTTTCCGCTGCGGTCTTTCAGCGGTCTGGCTTAAATCCTACTTGAAGGACCAGGGAATTTTTAGTGTCAGTATGTAACTTTACATCAGACAGCACAGAAATCACATGTGGCGTTCCCCAAGGCTCCATCTTAGGGGCCCTCTGATTCAATATCTACATGCTCCCCCTAACTCAGATCTTAAATAAGCGGTCCTCCTAACTGTCAATCATTCTGGTGATATATTTACGTAAGGCTGTCCCTCGTGCTCAACCCCTCAGAATGCTTTGCGCTGATAGCTCTTTGCTGTCAAAAATTTGCTGTCACAGCGGCCAACTGTTGCCATAGACTGTCGCTATCGGACAGTGGCGACTAATACCAAAGATGGCGCAGGCACCATGCAGTGGACCAACAGAGGAGTGATTATCTGTCCGAACGTCTGATAACTGAGTTTGCTATAAAAGGTTGGGAGCTGATGGCTTGGTTCGAGTGTCCGGTGTGTTTCAACTACGTGCTGCACTGTAGTCGACCAAAATCCTTGATGATTTTGAATTCCCCCCGGACATATTTTAGGTCTGAAAAGTAGGACATGTTTGGGAAAAAGAGGCCGTCTGGTCCCCCTACCATATCAATAATTTGATGTTTCAGTGAGTGAGTGCTTGTTGCTATGATGCGTCTTTGCTCAGCAGCTTCGCTCGTTGTAAACCAACCAATCAGAGCACAGCTCATCTAAATATTCATGATCATACCATAAAAGGAAGAAAAACTGTTGTTTCATTCCAGGGCTTTTAACCAGGCTGCATTAGCGCTAATAGAACAGCAAA